AAACCTAACCCTAAACCTAACCCTAAACCTAACCCTAAACCTAAACCTAAATGTAAATCTTACCTTAAATGAAATCGCGCTTTTGTCGGCGCGCTGTTGTCGGCGCGCTGTTGTCGGCGCGCTTTTGAAATTGCGATTTTAGCGCCGCGGTGTTGTCGGCACGCTTATGACGTTCGCGCTTTTGATGGGTCACGCAGACTTCTATTACTCTTGAGGTGAGAGTAGTAGATAGAGAATTGTTCAGGATTTATGAAGAACAGATCTCCTGATCTTTTAATACAGAATGCCAACAATACTTACATTTTTATTCACCAATACTTATAAAACAATAATATGTTAAACTTGTATGCTTCTCAGAGTTGGGTGTCTAGAATCCCTGCCTAGAAAATCCTAGGTTTGTAAACTTCTGGTGTCTTCATGGGAATAATTCTGGATTATTTGCAATCTATGTCTGGATAATGCTAACAGAACATTTAGTTAAAGTTCACGTTTTATAATATTTCTCCCAATTAAAAAAATTGGAATGATTACAGTCTCAGTTTTAGCTTTAAATGGTAAGATGATCTTGAATTCATTCCTCCAGGCTTCCTTCCTGTTGACCTGACAGTAGCAATCTATTTCCTTTCTGACTGTGAATCACTGGGGAACTATCAATCATAATCTTCCCTTCTATTGATTCCAGCCAGTATCTATCGGCAGCTCTAAAAAGATTATGTTTTAATTGGGGATCAGATAAATGGCATTTTGAGGTTTAATTTAACTTTTGCACCTTCTGGTAAGGGCATGCCAGTGGTTCTAACTATCAAAGCGCACAAGAGTGACCCTCCAAACAGGATAAATTCAACCTAAAATGACTGAAAATCTTTTTCTATCACATGGCTGAAAAGGTTGACATTGAATTCATTAATGTTATCTTTGCTTCAGACATAATATTTCTTCTACACAGGGTCTTATTTTAAGAAATGTGCAGGACAAGGAATAAAGCACATTAAAGTTGGCAGGGGACAGATGTGGGGGGAGGTAAAATGGCTCTTAATGATTTTGGGACATCTCTAGATGGAGAGATGAGCAGCTGGCTACTCCTGGTCCATGTCACTTGCTTTACTTCTCCATTCAGCTAAAAGTTCCATCCATTTTTATTAAAAACAAAAAACAAAAATGCACCTTCTCAAATGCATATTCATTTAAATAATCAGTTTATTTTATTTTGTTCCATATAGCATCAACTTTGTGAACTTTCAACCATGATTAATACCTACCTACCTACCTACCTACCTACCTACCTACCTACCTACCTACCTACCTACCTACCTACCTACCTACCTACCTNTTCATCTGTTGGTCTATTTTACTATAAGCAACATACATCCTCAAATTCAGTTTTTACATAGAGAACATTTAACTTAATTAATTATCCACAACTAACAATATTACTTTAATTCCCTTATATCTTAATTGACTACGTACCATTAACAATGTTAATACAATTCCCTTTAATCTACTAATATATCCCTTCTTTCCATTCCTCCTCCTCTAACCATTTTCTCTTGGTCTCTCAAAGATTCCACTTCGTATTAATTTTCTTCTTTTCTCCCATTCTCCTAGCTTCTTCTTTTTCCATTAGAGGGTCTTATGTGGGACACTGTAAATCCAGACTGATCCATAATGCAAATTTCTAAAATTTAACTTTATGGTTTACCAGGTGGAATTGTAAGAGACATACTTACTCTAGTAATGGTGCTCCGTAAAGAACAATAATTCCATGGAAGAGGATACAAGATATGAAGAAGTATACACAGCATTTTACAAATCTTGTTGCCTTTTAAAGAGAATGAAAATATATACAATGCCATCAATATGCATAATCTTTTATAAAAGATAAGCTCTTGTACCATAAAGTACATGATTAGTTATACTTAGATTAAATTAAAACCCTTGTAAACCTTTTCTAGATCATTAACCCTGAACTAATATTTGGGTTCTTACAATCTCTTGATAGAAGAACCAAAAATTGACAATGACTATTGTATCCTCTTCTCCCTTTCTGCCCGATCCTTCCATCCTCATCCTTCAGCCTCCTAGGCAGGAAAATATATCTATTGCAACAAATCCAATCTGATTTCTAGCAAGGCTTTTAAAACAAGGCTGAGTTGCATAGCGCAAGTGGTTGTTCATTGTTTTAAAACCAAGTTTTAATATTAAAATAAAATGCTTTGTTTAACAGGTTCAGCTGAAACGAAATGCCCAGATTGAAACCCTTTTAAGTCACATTTATTTTCATGGCAGAGGTTTGATAATGTGTTTCAATCTCTTGTTGAAACTGGTAAAATTTAAATGCTATAATCTGAATTAGTTTTATACCATATTGAATATTTTGATATTCTAAAAGTTAGGAAGATGCTCTTGTAGGAGCTATTGTATTGCATTTTCACGGTTCCACCACAAATGCACGCACAACAAAAGCGCGCCTGACTAAACCGTGGTGTCTAAAGCGCGGTGACAAAACCGTGCGACGAATGAGCGACTAATTAGCCCTAAAGCACACCGACAAAAGCGCGCCGACAGAAGCGCGCTCTAACGTAACCCTCAACCTAACCCTCAACCTAACCCTAAACCTAACCCTCAACCTAACCCTCAACCTAACCCTAAACCTAACCCTCAACCTAACCCTCAACCTAACCCTAACCCTAAACCTAACTGTAAATCTTA